GTTGCTGCTGTCTCTTCACCACAGAAATGGCGCTAACTACCCTAAATGAATTGCGCTTTTGCGGAAGTGACGTACACTGTCACAGACCGATAGTCACTCTATTACATATGGAGTCATGTAACAAAAGTAATTTCTCCCTGGGGTGATTAAAGTATTTCTGATTCTGATTCCTGGTTGATGGGACAGGTGTTGTGAATGAAACGGTGCCCAGCTTGAAAGAGCCCCTGTGTGTCGCTAAATGTATGCATTGATGACTGAAGGACATCTTCTGCTTCCATTTATATGTTTACTACAGTGCATTGAATTCATGTTAATGTGTATTTAAAGTCATTTTAATTAGTGCAAAAAATTGCAGGAGGGAATATAAAAAAAAGTAATCAACCAAGACTTTCGCGACCCCCATGCAGTACCTCCGCGGACCCCCTAGGGGTCGCGGACCCCCTGTTGAAGACCTCTGTGCTAAGGGGTTCGACCTGCTGTCATTTCATCATTTAGTTTGAAACCTAATTATAAGACAGAAGCACATTTTTCACAACTTGAATATTTCTGATAGTTACCAATTATAAATATGATTGAAATATATTTTTTTCCTCAACAGAAGGAGACTGACTCAACATTAGCATAACTGATATCTAAAGGAATGTAGAAAAAGGAATATCCAAGGGAAAAGACAGACAGGAAGAGGCAAAACTGAGCCAGACGGACCTGAGTCCAGACTTGTCTGCACATGTTCAGGAACTACTCCCCACAGCAACATATATCCACTAAATCCTCTTCCTACTGAAATCCTCATTAGAATTTACCTTTTTTTAAGTGTTACTAGTCTGCATGATCAACTTAAAAAGAAAAGATGACAACTGTCACCACAAATACATGCTGTGAAACCTAAAAGTAGATCCACAGAACAAGTCAGGCATCCATATCTGAGCTTTAATGCGTGTAATATTTCAGTTCCTTCAATAAAAATATCTGTTATAAGTAAAGAAGAGAAGACAGAGTGCATTAGTCTGTCTGGGGGTCTGCTAAACTCCTCCTGGAGTCACACAAAGGCTGGCACAGCGGCACGCATGTGTCTGTCTTCCGCCGAGTCCAATAGAAGCTGCTCTTTGCCACCATCTCTCTCTCTCCCTCACAAGCAGCCAATAACAGCTTCTGCTGGAGTTGCTAGGCAACAGCACCGGTAATGCAAAAGCCCTTGACGGACAGCGGGAGAGATAAACAGGGGATTCTTTCCATCCAGCTGGTCAGGCGGCAAAATGAGAGGTGAAGAAGTAGAAGGAGTGTGAGAGCAGAGACAAAGTGAAAGTGAAAATAAGGATTTCTGCATGAAGGGGGGAAAATATTAGGCAACAGGAGAGAAGATGGGGAGAATGACATGAGAGCTCAGCGAACGCAATTAGGAGGGTGTGTGGGTGTGGGTTTTGCATTGGAAAGATGTTCCTAAACGAGTAGAGTTAAAACAGGGAAGGAATGGACTGGAAAGGTTCTCGTCTTTCTGAAAGAAAAATACAAAACAACACTTGCTGCTTTGAGCAGGCTTGATCGTCTGAGAGGATTCACACCCTAACCTAACCATCGCTGACTAACTGTAGTGTCCATTTATTCATTCAGAAAACAAAAAACAGCATCAGTTTATTTTCAGTATGTTTTTTAAATCCTGTTTTTTTTTTTATCCCCTTGTCTTCTCCTTTCATTTGTTAAATACCTATTAAATTCAAGTGATAAGGGACATGTATGAGTTCAAACACCCTTTGTTTGCCAACATTACAAGGATTACTACAATAATGAAACAGGCCACTGATCCAAAGATAAAACAGCAACAGATCCTCTGGTTTGGTTTCAGTGGAATAACTTTCAAAAATACAGTCTTGATCTCAGAGGAGAGGTAAAAAAATAAAAATAACCTAAACCATCTAACAAGCCTCTGGGTGAGGCAATTCTTGTTCAATCTTGCTGTGGGTTTTCATAAATTTTTTTTAGATTTGAATCATGCTTCTTAAAAATCACCTCTAGAGCAGAGGTCGTGAAGTTAGGGGTAGTGTTTCCAGGGTTGTCCCCTTTGGAGGAGTTTACCTACTAGTTGCGGGTATCTGTTTTCCCCTAAACGCTGTCTGAGAAGAGCGATGGCTAAAGGGCAGATTATACTTCTGCAACCACACACCTCAAATGTCGCTTGGGTCTGGTCGCGAACCAGTTTTGCTGGAATGCTTCTGCGCAGTTGGTCTGGAATTCCTAGGGACGCACAGCAGTTTCATGCCAAAGCGCAAGGGGGACCTATTCGAGAACTCGCGAGAACTTTGGCGGCACCAGCGGGACTGTTTGTCTTCCAAAACAAAGATGGCGCGTCTGCAAGACATTGCGGTCACGGAGATGGATCTAGAGTTGCTAGACAGGTTCTGTTAATGGAGTTGGCAAAAAGACCGATTAACCTTTCGTCGTAGTTGTCCATTGTAGTTGTTCCTTGGTTTTTAAAAATGTCGCACCCTGGCACCGAATCGAGGAGGAAGACCACACAAACAGCTGAAAGGCATACCAAGGACCAATCACAACTGCTTTTTGTCTGTGCACTTCCGCTTGAGGTCTGTGCGGCTTTGCGACCCTCCAACGCGTAGTCAGGATTTTTTAAGACAGAGTTGACGGTTGCAGAGGCTATGCGTCAGAAGCATAAA